TCCAGACTCCTTTGCCTGGGTTTCAACAGCCTTCTGGCATATGCCTCGGTGAATCACCTGCATTATCACCTCTGGTATTCGATGGTCCCACTGCACGCTGCCACTTGCGTATGTACTTTCGTTTTCGCTGTCTCATTCTTTATATCATTCAGCCACTTAGAACAAAACCGGCTCTTCCAGCTTTCAAGGAGTTGCAGCAGCACTGTGTGGACAACTTTGTTTTCGAATTCACGTCCCTCTCCGAGTACAAGACCACTTTGGGGTAAGCATAGTGCATTGTTTCGTGGTCATATAATGCATACAGTATGTTCCATATATCAACCTGAACTCGGAAATATGTTTTCGATTCGAACAAATGACTTGAGTAGGGTTGCACTACGGATTATCATACAGCCTAATCCGAATTTATTTTGGTCACAACAAGATGCCGATTTTCGGACAAGTTTCTTTCTAACCGCTCGCAAAAAGTATGCTCTGTAAAAATGGCTACTTAAATTGTATGCATTTTCCCATTGATTTTTACTGCCGTTATAAATTGCGAAAACCTGCATATACATATTATTTCTTGTACTCGTTTGACAACAAATTACGTCTTACAAGTATTCGAGTAGCTCACTTCCGTGGGTTTTATGTTGCCCTCCCCCTTAAGAGAGCCTCTTTAATCGCTGCTACAGACGTGACAATGTCGGCGTTTTAGGACTAGTGTTAAAAAACGATCAAGTAAATGAATGTAAAATTTCGTATTCCAGGGAGAGGGCTTTTCGAGCGCCTGAACAATTGTTTTATTGTCCTGAGCTTTCAAACTCTTACAAGAGTGCATCATCTGAGGTGAAAATGAAGGTGAACTCCTGTCCTAAGCCAGTTTTATATTTCTTGCTTTTTTTCTTTCTCAGACAGCTTTGGCGAGCCATAGAGTCCTGTCAACAACTGAAGATTGCCCACAACTTATTTGCTGCGCGTAATACCCAAGGCGTTCTCCGTGTGGTTCTCTGGCCCCGCCGTTCAGTGCTTGAGGCCAAGGCTGTGGGCTCTGCCCTCGGCGGCTCCTCAAGAGGCTTTAATGTTGCTGTGGCTGAACTGGCCGGAATGATGCTTGTGGTCGACGAGGCAACGTGTGCCGCTCTGCAAGCGGAGGGTGCGCTGACGGAGGTGCTAATGAACGAGCGTTTGCCGGCTGCGGAACTGGCTGAACTCTACGCACTCCTCGCAAAGGGATCATGAATTCCTGTCGTTCGTCAGCCCATATTTTCTCACCGTGTATCCAGAAGACGATCCTGGTGTGGAACCACCGG